TTGGCTGTAGAAACTATGGATGTACTATCATGTGGGGTTCTCCCTTCCACACATCCCTCACCCTCATCCAGGGAGTCAGTTTTGAGTGTTGTCTGTCCCAGCTGGGACTGCCTGATGTTATGGCAGGGCAGGAGCTGTTTTGGAGGTTTACCTTCTCATGTAGGCAGGTTAGGTGGAGTGGGTCTACAGGGTAATGACAGGCAAGGCTCATGGTGCTAGTAGGATTAAAGAAGAGTGGTAGCACTGCCTCTCTAACTGCATCTGACTATCTGCACTGCGCTCACAGCAATCATGGCTTAGCTGCCACTGGACGGTGCATGCACCGCACACAGGGGACCCCCCCCCAGAGCGCCTAGTTCTGGTTACGGGGTGGGGGGATTGTGTTACAGGGCACCTAGGACCTCTTTTATTACCTGGGAGAGGGTAAGAAAAATGGTGCTTGCTAACATGGAGAAATCTGCGTATCTTTGCCCTTCTAGCAAATGTTCTAAGATTAGTAAATAAATCTTCCCAGGCACTTTTCAAAATGTTACTTCTGTGCTATGTCATGGGCCAGGCTATTTAGCATGCTGGCTCTTTAGGGGCACAGACATGGTTTCCTATCATCATCTTGCTCTCCTGGAGTTATAAACCCTATTGATTTTTAGAGCTCTTGGAGTTAAGCCCCACTGATTTTCAAAGCCAGATATTATGGAGACTTTCTTCTCCATGTGGGTCGCCGGGCTAGGGTGTAGTGACTGATCCCCTAACTCATCTGTGCTTGTGATGTCCCTCCCATTTGTGGTTAGTTTTGCCAGGCCTTTGGTTCCTGATTGCATATCTGCCCCCCCTACCCTTTTCAATAGGTGGCCTTCTCTCTGACTACCTATAGAAGATCTGTTCAGCCAGTCTTCATGTTATTTTTCAGTTAGTTGCTTGAATTAGTTAGACAGAATTGTTGCCTTGGTATCCATGGGATGAGGGGAGCTCAGGATCCTCTGCTCTACCATCTTAAATATACATTCTTCATTTGTGAATTTCCCTCAAAATACTGCTTTGGCTGCATCCCACCATTTTTTATTATTGTATTATTTTTTCTTCCGTGTTTCCATCTCTGCTAATCTGAATGCTATGGAGTCTGTTATTTTAGTAGTTACTATAGAAATTTCCTCATTCATTGTTTACTTACCAAAACCTAAAAAGTCAATCTGCATTTTTACCCTCTTCCTGATTAATGCAAAGACCTTGGAATACTTTTAACTTTGTTTTTGCCCAGTTTATTTCCTATTGTTGTAATGTATTTTAATTCTATCTTCTTTTTAAAGTCCACAAAACAGTCCCCCAGGTGGCTCAATCAGTTAGGAGTCTGCAATCAGCTTATGTTGTGATCCTGGGGTTTGGGGATCAAGCCCCATGTCTGTTTCCCTGCTTAGTAGGAACTCTCCTTCTCCCTCTCCCTGTCCCTCTGTCCCTCCCTCTGGTTGTGCTCTCTCTCACTCTCAAATAAATAAATAAAATCTTAAAAAAAAAATAAAGCCCCCAAAACATTTTTATTATTATTTTATGCCATGACTATATAGATTATATATTACCACTTTTTTACTCTTTTCCTGTCTCTGATCTTCAGGCAAAGATGACTGTCCTTCCATATGAAGTACATCCTTTAGAATTTCCTTTAGGTGGGGTTCTGTTCTTCACAAATATTGAGTTTTTGTTTGTCTGAAATATTTTTATTTTTCTCTTCATTTTTGAAAGTTACTTTTACTTGGAATGGAAATTTACATTGATTGTTATTTTTTAAGTATGTTAACTGTATTCCAGTGTCTATTGGCCTTCATTGTTGCTGTTGGGGAGTTAACTGTAAATCTTTTCTTTTAATTTTTGTATCTTTCATATCAAAAGTCTCTTTAGTTTCTTTTACAACTGCTTTGTTGTTTTTTATAGTCTTTTTTTTTAAACCCATGTTTTCAATTTCTTTTCACTAAACATTGTATTTTGTATGTTCTGTAATTCCTATACCTATAATTTAGAGGGACCAGATTTCTTTTACCCTGTCCCTTCTAGTACCTTATTTCTCTTTAGTTTTTGTTAATCTTTGAACTTAGTTTTTGTCACAGTATCAGTGGGAATTTTTGAAGATCTAGGCATAAGGTACATTTCCTTAAAGATTTGATTTTTTTTTTTCTGTTCAAGTACCAGACAACATATTTGGCATGAGAGACCCCATTAAACTTGTGATGTTTTTCTGAACACCCAGAAATGTGAATGTGGGCAATAAATCCAAGTGAGAGTCAGCTTGTAATTACAAATTCTTAGTAGAGATTTTATCTTTTTTCCATCTACCAATTCTGTTGTGAAGACAGTTTTTCTTACAGGCCCCCAGTTAGTGACAGGGGAAGGGACTGTTGTTTCTGGCACACTCTTCTCCTGATTGTGTGGGCTTTCACACTCCCAACTTTTTATTTAGGAAGCCAGATTCTACCAACCCACCAGTACTTCCATTTAGTAAAAGGTTTAGTGTTCAAAACTGTAAGCACATTTGAAAAAAAATTTGAATTTTATGAAGAATATCTAACATTAGTTATTCAAATATAATCAATATACATAAATGTCAAACCCCAAATAAAAGCTTTAATTATTTAAAATGAACCAGGACTACTTGATCAGATAATTTGTTCTATCTGTAATATTAAGGTAGTTACAATGTGATCCCAGCCAAAAATATAAAAGTACATTTGTTCCATAAAAGAGAAAGCTCCAGTATTGCCAAAGTGGTGTATTTGTTTTGCAGATTACAATGTGGTAGTACAGAAAAATAGCCAGTGTCAGACATCATGCCTCAATTTTTATTTAGAGCCCAGGAATTGGTCATATCTCAGTACTTTTATACACCTTTACTAGAGGAACAGTTTTCCTGAAAAATCACAAGTAAATTATTATGTTTTCCCTCCTTTGTTGTTGTTACTGTTATTTCTCCTTCTCAAACCTTATATGCTTTCTTTTTCTTTTTTTTTTTTTCCGCAGCATTATTGAAATATAATTGATACACCATACAAGTCACCTATTTAAAGTGTAAAATTCAGTTGTTATTGGTATATTCACAGACTTGTTCAAGCAGTGTTAGAACAGTCATCTTCTGGAAAAAGAAAAACTATTAAGAGTCAGTCTCAAAACCAAACCAAACCAAATAAAAAAAAAAAAGAAAAAAAAAAAGTCATTCTCCATTTCCCCCACTCTCCAGTGCTAAGAAACCAGGAACCTACTTTCTGTCTCTATAGATTTCTGGACATTTCATATAAATTAAATCATACAAATGTAGTCTTTTCTGGACAGTTTCTTTAACTTAGTATCATGGTACCAAGTTGTATCAATGTTATAACATATATCAGCACTTTGGTTTTTTTAATTGCCAAATAATATTGTATAGATATGCCACATTTTATTTATTCATTGAGCAATTGATGGACGTTTGGGGTGTTTCTCTTTTTGGCTATTGTGAGTAATGCCGCTATGAACATTCATGTACAGGTTTTTGGTGGGGATATGTCTTTAAATTTCTTCTGGGTATGTACCTAGAGGTAGAATTGCTGTATCATGTGGTAACTCGATGCTTAACTTTCTGAGGAACTACTAGACATTTCTAATTTCTCCACCTTTTTACAATACTTGCTATCTCTCTTGTTATAGTCACCTTAGTTGGTATGAATAGCTATCTTATAGTGGCTTTGATTTACATTTCTCTAATAGATAATAATGTTGAACATCTTTTCACATGCTTATTCGTGTATTTCCTTTGGAGAAATGTCAATTCAGATCCTTTATGCATTTTTGTTTTTATTATAATTTTTAAAAAAAAATTATTTGAATTCAATTTAATTAACATATTGTATTATTAGTTTCAGAAGTAGAATTTAGTGATGCATCAGTTGCATACAACATCCAATGCTCATTACTTCAAGTGCCCTTCTTAATGCCTATTACCCAATTACCCCATCCTCCTGCACCCCTCCCTTCTAGCAACCCTGTTTTTCCCTATAGTTAAGAGTCTTTTATGGCTTGCCTCCCTCTCTGTTTTTATCTTACCTTATTTTTCCTTCCCTCTTTGTTCGTCTGTTTTGTTTCTTAAATTCTACACGAGTAAAATCATATGGTATATTTCTTTACCTGACTTACTTCACTTAGCACAATACCCTCTAACTCCATCTATGTCATTGCAAATGGCAAGATTTCATTCTTTTTGATTTCTGAGTAATATTTCATTATCTGTCTATCCATCTGTCTGTCTATCCATCTGTCTATCTATCTCACATCTTCTTTATCCATTCATCTGTTGATGGACATCTGTGCTCTTTCCATATTTTGACTGTTGTGGACATTGCTGCTATAAACATTGGAGTACATGTGCCCCTTCGAGTCACTATGTTTGATTCCTTTGGATAAATACCTACTAGTGTAATTGCTCGGTTGTAGGGTAGTTCTATTTCTAATAATACAACTTCTTTATAATTTTGATTTTCTTATATGGTTAAAAGTTAACACTGACAAGTTAACACTTGTTAACACGAACACAATCTTAAGATAGCTTTCTATGAGTGGTATTATGAAGTCAAAGGATGTAAATATCTTTATAGCTTTTATATGACATCACATTACTTTTATAAAGTAAACTGCTTTTGTTTAGCAAATACACTTAAAATTTTTTTTCATTTACTTTCATTTACTTTGAAGTTGATACACATCATAAGTTGAAGAATTTTACTTTGGGTGGCAGGAATGTCAGTGATAAAACCCAGGGTAAAGTTATATGTGCATTTTGTCATCTCAAGAAAAATAAGTACATCTAATGGGACACTTTGTACTTATGCTGAAAACTGGAACAGCCAGTTGCCTTGTTAACTAAAGGCTAATATGACACCAAAAACTTACTATTTTATATTATTTTCTATTTTAACAATAATATAATTTGTTAAATTTTCTTTAGGCTTCGGGAGCAGGAAAGAAAAGAAGCAGAAGAAGCTAGTCAAAAGGAAATAGAAGAATGGGAAAGAAAACTGCTAGCTCAAGCTTCTCCAGCTTGTATGGAGACCATGTGGGAAATTCCAGCTATTGGGCATTTTCTTTGTTTAGCCCAGCAAATTCTAAATTTGCCAGAAATAGTCTTTTATGAATTGGAACGTTGTCTTCTGATGCCTCAGTGTAATGCTTTTCTTTCTAAAATAATGACTTCTCTGTTAAGTCCTCCTCATCGGAGACCTACCTTACATCGAAGACCTACTTTGCCTTATAGGACCTGGGAGGCAGCACTGAGACAGAAAGTACAGCAGTGGTATACTGCTGTAGGGCAGACTGAAAATCCTGATAACTGTGCTGAAAAGCTTGGGTTATGTCCTCAGTTTTTTAAAGTTCTTGGAGAAGTTAATCCATTGGAAGAAAAACCTTTTCACGAACTGCCTTTTTACCAAAAAGTGTGGTTACTTAAGGGTCTCTGTGACTTTGTGTATGAAACACAAAAAGAAGTTCAAGATGCTGTACTTGGACAGCCTATTCATGAATGCAGGGAAGTTATCCTTGGTTATGATTATTTAGAGAATGCTTATGTGCATTTTCCACAGTTCTGTGGTGCAGATGTACGGATTTATAAACAGAGACCTTTTCAGGCTCCAGAATTTCCAGTTCCACCCATTAAAATACAAAGAGTACCTCGGATTAAGCTGGAGAAATTGAAATGTGACTATGTTAGTACAAGTAATGGAGAACATAGATGTAGTAGAGGCCTGCACTCTGGCTTCAAGAAAGAGCAGGAACTTAATTTTGATGCAACTTGGGGTTCTGCTAAAATGAACTTGGAAAATCATGACATCTCTGTTGAAATGGATATGACATCTAGCTGTGAAATTAGAATTCGCAGGCCCTGTGAAATTAAGAAAACTGATTGTTACAAAGAAAATTTAGAGGAACCAGGGAGTCCAGGGGAGGTTACTGGCTTTGAAGAGCCTCTTAGTCCAGGTGAAATAAGGTTTATAGAAAATCAAGAAAAATATGGTGAAGCTTCCAGAGTAAAGCCTGAACCCAGTCCATTAAAAGAAAATGCTCTAAAATCCTGCCAAATACATGTAAATGGAAGTCACAGTGATCATCCAGAAATTAACTGCCACAAAGTTGTAAGGGACATTCTATTAGAGCAGAGTCACAAAAAAATCAAACTAACTAAAATGAGGGCAAAAAAGAAGAAAAAGAAAAAAAAGAAATTGAAAGATGTTTTGAATGAAAACTTACAGAGAAAACGTGAAAGTCTTCATTCTCTGGCATTCAAATCTTACAAACCTGAGATCCAGAATAAATTATTGATCATCAAAAAGAAAGCAAAACACAAGAAGCACAAATCTGGTAAGCTAACACAAATGGGTGAGGATTACATTTAAGCATACTTCATGTTATTCTTCCAGTTAGGTATCATGGAAGACTCTGATTGACAGAATGAAAAAAGAGAGAGAGAGGGAGAGAGAATGTGTGTGTGTGTGTGTGTGTGTGTGTGTGTGTGTGTGTGTGTGTTTAAGGGGTTAAGTTCTATATTCTTACATGTGATTAAAACCCAGAGCAGAAGAGGTTTTGTATATTAACAAGAAAATAATGGTGCAGTATATTTTAATTTAATTTTCAGTTGAAAACCTTTAGATATTATGTTTTTACATTTCTCTGGACCACTTTCTCCGTAAATAATGGTTCCTATCATTTATGAGAAGTTTTTTTTTCCCCAGGCTAAGAGCAGTACAGTGTAATGGAAAAAGCACTGATATCAGGAGATATCATTCTCAGTACCATATAAAGTGCATAGCAACTTAAACCAAGCCAAGTTAGATTATCTTTCAGGGTTTCAGTTTTTTCCCCGTATCATATTTTTATATCCAGTAAAAATGTGAAATACAAGGAAAAAAATTACATCAACTAATAGAATGTGAAGCATATTTTTGTAAGAGGATTTGCACGTCTTATAGCAAATTTAAATACTCCGTGTTCTGTTACAAGTCTTTACTTAAACAATAACAAATAAATCCTATAAATAAAGTCTTCAGTGGTTGGTTCCTCTATCTTTTATTACTCAGGTATTTCTGCTTTTCCTGTTGTTTGCCTTTTAATCATTTTATGTCTTGTTTGCCAAGAAGTAGGTGAGATAAAAGCAGATGGTGAACTCCATTTATTAAAAAGTTTAAAAGTTGCCTGGTTGAGGAAAAACTTGAATTGTTTACTAAAATGAGTTGTGGTTTATTGTAATTATTTATGGATTTCATTTTTTTATGTCTTTACTCAGTAAAAAAAGATAATTAATATTTGACAATTTTATAATGAGTTGGCAAATGAGGTAGTGAATTTTATTTAGCTGGTATAGTTGCTTAGTTATTTAAATAAATACAATTAAATATATTTCAAAATATGTATGTAATGTATCATTGATAAGCATAGAATTTACTATCTTAAGAACAGGCATAATTTGTTAAACTGAGAATTACAAAATGGTCTATATTGACCCAGGTGATGAAAAACTATAATTTTTTAAAGTAACTCTCAGAAATAAGCCTTTTAACTTTTATAATAACCCACTAGGCTATATAAATTTAGTTTGGTTGATTTGGCAAGTTCTCTTTGAATTGTTAGCCTCTAAAATTTTAAATAATAGTTTTAAATTGGAATTATTTTTCCAGTTCCAAAGAATGCAGTACTGTTCTATTAATATCATTGTCACCATTGAAACCTTTTATTAAGTGTTTATTCATGACCTACTATTCATGTGTTCAAAGGTAATTATGACTTACAGGGTAGATATTGATGTAGCTCCTATATAGACTATACCAGTAGCAAGTTAAAAATATTAACTGTGAAGCATTGGATTAAAAGGAATTTCTATTGTAAACAAAGTGTTGCTTACATTTTTTTTAAAATGGAAGTTCAGAATATATGTAGAGCAGAGAGAAAATTTGTGGGAGTTTCATGTCCAGTTTTAGATGACTGAATGAAAAAAAAACTCAGAAGTAAATTCAGCAGGTACTTATGTACCTTCTCTAAACATGTTTATTTTGTTCAGTACAGAAAGCTTACAGGCATGAAATAGAAGAAAATAATGCACTTGCATACACATTTTCTAATTTTATCTTCAGAGTAGATTTTAGAAAGTTAATCTTCTTGAATCTGGCAAATATAGTTTCTTTCTCCTTTACTAGTACAGGGTAAGCATATGCCCATTCTCTTTCTTTATCAGATACTAAACTCCTTTCTGTTATAATAGGATTACATAAAATATTGTAATAACAACAACAACAAAAAATTTGTTTTACATCATTTTCAGTACACTTGTTTTTCTGAGGCTTTGTTATTAGTTATGAGACATTGTGGCTTTTTACAGTCAGTTTTGGGCAATCCCTAATCCTGTTTCCTCTTCTACTCTTTTTAAAAGTGAGCTCCATGGTGACAAGTTTGGAAAATATGGAAATGCTCCTCTCCTCTGATAGATTCACATTGTGCATTAGTGCAGGTCCACAATGCATTTTTAAAAACTCTTGTATCAGATACGTTTTAGAATTCAGAAATCATTAGATTATAGAAAGATATAATGATTTATATTGTTTAGTAAGTAACATCCTCTGTTGAGTTGGGGGTAACCCCTAAGTAAACGCATAGTTTCTACAGAAAAATGTGTGAATGGTCAGATTAAATGAGATGAAGACTAAAGAACCTCAAAACAGTTCATGTCAGGTTTTGCTACCATATAAATTATTTTTAAAACTTTAGTTTTGAAAACCTTTTAGACTTCAGAATTATGGATAGGTGTGATTCTGGGCCTGTGTTTTAAGGACTCTGGGAAGTCTTGAGGAAAAGGAACCATTCAGTTTTGTTAACCTGGTATTTTTTAAGTTTATTTGAACACACAGCTTTTCTTCAATTAATAGGATTCTTGTAGAATATGCTTTGGGATAAGGTGTACCATCCATGAACCTTCACTTGGGATGAACTAAATTCTACCTGTGGTTAAATGTCCATCTTAAATTGATTACTACAGGCTTTAATATTTGGTGAATCTCTAAATTTAGTAGCTGGGAGATAATTTTTAGTAGAAGGTGCAAAGACATATTGAGAATGATTTGTTAATTTTAGAGCACTATGAGGCAGTTTTGCAACTTTAAAACATTTTTACCTATTTTTCAGAGTTTTCTTTCTGGTTTTTTAATTTTTTAATTCATTTTTAGTTATGTAAGACTGTTTCTTAATCTTAGAAACATTATAGAATAGAAAAACATTGGAATACTCCCTTTTGTGCCATCTTACAGCAACAGATACTTCTCCTTTATAAAAAAATTATTCATTTATGATGGTTGCATTTATTTCTAGATTATTTTGATGATTGTCTCTTCTCTATTTAATAACATTCTTGAGGACAGAAGTTAGCATAGTAACCAACACATGGTTTGGAAATCTATTGAGTAAGTAAATGAACACACATAATATGGTTTACTCAGATATAACTAAGATTAACCCCTTAATTTTGGTCTTTTACACCCTTTTAAAGATTTTTTTAAATTAAATTTCCTTACAATTATTTTTAAAGATTTTTTTCTTTTTTTTATTTTATTATGTTATGTTAGTCACCATACAGTACATCATTAGTTCTTTTTTTAGCTTACTTTTTCAAAAATTTTTTTATTTTTTAAATTTCTTTTCAGTGTACCAGAATTCATTGTTTATGCACCACACCCAGTGCTCCATGCAATGTGTGCCCTCCATAATACCCACCACCAGGCTCACACAACTTCCCACCCCCCGCCCCTTCAGAACCCTCAGAGTGTTCCATGATTCATTGTCTGCATATAACACCCAGTGCTCCATGCAATACATGCCCTCCTTAATACCCATCACTGGGTTAACCCATCCCCCCACACCCCTCTACTCTTGTTTTTTTTTTTTTTTTTTTTAATTTCTTTTCAGCGTAACAGTATTCATTGGTTTTTTTGTTTGTTTTGTTTTGTTTTTAATTTTCAGCATAACAGTATTCCTTGTTTTTGCACCACACCCAGTGCTCCATGCAATCCGTGCCCTCTTTAATACCCACCACCTGGTTCCCCCAACCTCCCACCCCCCGCCCCTTCAAAACCCTCAGATTGTTTTTCAGAGTCCATAGTCTCTCATGGTTCACCTCCCTTTCCAATTTCCCCCAACTCCCTTCTCCTCTCCATCTCCCCTTGTCCTCCATGCTATTTGTTATGCTCCACACAGAAGTGAAACCATATGATAATTGACTCTCTCTGCTTGACTTATTTCACTCAGCATAATCTCTTCCAGTTCCGTCCATGTTGCTACAAAAGTTGGGTATTCATCCTTTCTGATGGAGGCATAATACTCCATACTGTATATGGACCACATCTTCCTTATCCATTCGTCTGTTGAAGGGCATCTTTGTTCTTTCCACAGTTTGGTGACCGTGGCCATTGCTGCTATAAACATTGGGGTACAGATGGCCCTTCTTTTCACTACATCTGTATCTTTGGGGTAAATAGCCAGTAGTGCAATTGCAGGGTCATAGGGAAGCTCTGTTTTTAATTTCTTGAGGAATCTCTGCACTGTTTTCCAAAGTGGCTGCACCAACTTACATACCCACCAACAGTGGAAGAGGGTTCCCCTTTCTCCACATCCTCTCCAACACATGTTGTTTCCTGTCTTGCTAATTTTGGCCATTCTAACTGGTGTAAGGTGGTATCTCAATGTGGTTTTAATTTGAATCTCCCTGATGGCTAGTGATGATGAACATTTTTTCATGTGTCTGATAGCCATTTGTATGTCTTCATTGGAGAAGTGTCTCTTCATGTCTTATGCCCATTTTTTGACATGATTATGTTTTATGTGTGTTGAGTTTGAGGAGTTCTTTATAGATCCTGGATATCAACCTTTTGTCTGTACTGTCATTTGCAAATATCTTCTCCCATTCTGTGGGTTGCCTCTTTGTTTTGTTGACTGTTTCCTTTGCTGTGCAAAAGCTTTTGATCTTGATGAAGTCCCAAAAGTTCATCTTCGCTTTTGTTTCCTTTGCCTTTGGAGACATATCTTGAAAGAAGTTGCTGTGGCTGATATCGGAGAGGTTACTGCCTATGTTATCCTCTAGGATTCTGATGGATTCCTGTCTCACGCTGAGGAAAACTGGACAGCTATATGTAGAAGAATGAAACTCGACCATTCTCTTAATACCGTACACAAAGATAAACTCAAAATGGATAAAAGGCCTCAACGTGAGACAGGAATCCATTTAAAGATTTTTTTAATTGATTTATTTGACAGAGATCACAAGTAGGCAGAAAGGCAGGGATCGGGGTTGGGAAGCAGGCTCCCTGCTGAGCAGAGAGCCC